TTCCTTAGATCCTTCGTTTTCGCCTCCCAGGCGGGGAGTCCACGAGAAAGGAATGAGTCTCTCGACCTTCGTCGGAGGCAGCGAATTCATTGAGCCGGCTTAGGACGTTCACATTGTCCTTTTCCAACTGTCGTAATCAATCCCCAAAATTTTCTTCGATCACCTCCGCCAGTTGATGAGCCAAGGGGGCGGATCCTCCTGACCTGATGCCCATACTGGTTTGAGGAGTAAGCCCTCTTGACTGAATAGAGGCATTTCTATTCCCATCAGTGTGATCCCTCCCTCTATGGTGACATGGAGCTCGTAATTCAAGACTTCTTTGCTGGGGACCTTTCCCTTTTTGTCGAGTATTCACCATGGTCATTGTTCTTTATAGAGAGGGAACTAGGAAAACTAGTCGTTTCCCACTGACGGCGCCAGATTGTGCATGTTGAATCTTGCACAATATAAACACGAGAACAGATCTCTCCCTTGGTGAACTCGAGTGAGTCAGTCGAGTGGTTAACCCTACTGCTTGGAACAGCCTTTGAGGTCTGGTGGTAGCCTAAAACGATAATGGGAGACTCTCGTGGATCAACAGAACGATCCAGTAAGGCTGAGGAAGGTTCCTGGAACAGAGAAAGACAAGTTAGAAGGGCGCCGGAGTGTTTTTCGGCGTATCCCCTCCGACGATCAAGTCAATTTTTGAGAGACAGGAAAAAGAAAACACTGAGTATAAGTTTGAGAAAAGGTTTTGCGTCCTTTCGTCTTACCTTTTGTGAGGAGTATTTATACCTCAAAAACTTATGATTGCTGTTAGTGTGGTCAGTAGGTGATCATTAGATACAGGCAACGTGCGCACTGATTCCTATGAGGAATGTCTTCTCTTTTAACTGCTCGGGATCCCGAGCAACCAAGGCTGTGTCATCGGCCTGCCGACTGTTTAATGAGCTCTTCTAGGCAAAGATGTAATAAATGCCCAATCTTAGGGACATTTATTACCTTTCACTTCCGAGCCTTACCGCATTAAATGTTGTCTCATCAAGGGAATAGTATAATTAAATGCTTGTTTTCCCAAGTCGTGTGTCAGCAAGGACATCCAGTCTTTTTGTCTCTGATGTGACACAATATGCCACGCGTCCATTCCCCATTGGTTGTGTCCCCTGCCTTCTGACACCAATTGTGTAAGACGAGGTCATGATGGCTAACCTAGCCTAGCTTAGGCTAGTGACCTGTACATCAATAGCCTCTGCAGGAGCAGAGAACGCCATCCTGGACGGGTACATCTCAGCACCAAGGGGGAGTGGTACATGTAGGGACCGATGTACCATATCTGACCCGAGGTATACTTGTCGGTACGTAACCTACTGGGTGTCATTGATCCCTATGAACAGTACCTCGGGGGAACGGGGACTTGTGATCCGACGGGTACGTGTCGTAATTATAGTAAAAGAATTTACTGATGTCGAGGATACGTGTCTTCATCTTGGAGTACTTAGAAATGTCCCATCATAAGGATATCATGGTCTAGGAAGAATAATGGATATAAAGGAGCAGGAAGAGAAACTCAATATGTAATATTTCATACTCAATAGTGTTCACATGCAACACAAGTGTATATCAACTAGTAGTTAATAAAAATACCGAAAAAAGTCAAAAATGATTGTAACATATTATTAAATGTAATACGATCAAAACTCTTCATCAATATCATCAATCAAATCATTAGGTAATGAAAGAAAGAAAATACCTCAAAAAAATTGATGAAACATTAAAAGCCCCCATATCATTGCTTTGACAGCTTGAGGCAAATGAAAGAAAATAGCTCAATAAAATTGGGGGTTTGAACAATTGTTTCATTCTTCACATGCCACCAATCAAAGGAAATGAGAATAAAAACCCCTAATTAATGTAGCAGTGAAGGATGAATTGGACACCCTACTTGGGTGAAGACGAGACGAAATCTATCAACATAGGTTTCGTCGATGCAAGCACAGAGAGAGAGAGAGAGAGAGAGAGGGAGAGAGAGAGAGCTCCATACCTGAAGACGATTCCTCTGACAAAGATGATGAAGTCACAACGGAAGAAGACGAAGGCCACTTTTGGCGCAAAAAAGCAAATACCGAGCCAAAATCTGCTCTCTATTTCTAGCGAGTGAAAAATAGATTTGCTAAAATAGCTAATGGGATAGAGAGTAGGTTGGCGAGAAATTTTAGAGATTGGCTTTCCAAAATAGCTAAGATTGGAGTTTTACCTAGTGTGTTGGAGTTGCTCTGATTGACATGTTGGGGATTTAACATAATTACACATATTTGAATTAAAAAATTAATTTCAAAAACACAACATAACAAAAACGTTAAAGAAAATATAAAATAGCAATCAATTTAGATCTAGGATAAAATAAACAATATAAAACAAAATGAGTTGATCTATGATATTTAAGAGGCATGCAATTATTGTCTTAAAACAGTTGTATCTCTCCACGTGAAGGTACTAAATAGCATTACAGCCTCCAAGATCCAACTTAAATACTCACAACAACTACTCCTCATGATCATGTCCACCGGAAAGTAAGAGTGAATTTAACTTGAATCGTAATTGTCCAAAAACTCATGATAATCCAAAGAAAGAGTAAAATATAAGTACATATGGACAAAAGCTATAAAACTAGGTTGACAGAAAACTTGAGTTGTTAGAAATTTTATGAAGACTGTGGTGGTAGAACAACTTATATTTTATATATGTTAATGAAACGGTGTAAATCATAAATCTAAATTCGATAAAAATTTGAGTTATCCACACAAAAAAAATTAAAGCCTAAGGTCAAAATAATTTTTAAATGAAAAGGAAAAAAAAGTCATTACCTAACAATACTACTTTTTACCAAAAAAAGTTATATTAAAGATAACCAGAAATTATACTTGATTCACACAAAATTGAGAGTAGATCAAACCTTATTGAAGGTGTCTAGATATAATCTCATAAAATTGTCTTTCTATGGTTGATTGTCCCACATACGCATTATTTATTTATTTTTTCCAATTTATAAAGCTAAAGTGACACACGTAAATTAATTACATCATATTTCATAATAAAAACTCATTAAATTAAAAATGGTCAAAAGTTGATAAATATAACGAAGATGAACAAAAAACAATAAAAAGAAAATAATCAATAACTCTTATCGAAATGTGAGGCTTATTGAATCTACTTATAATTGACCCTTGACGAGTATTAAAACACCATTTTTTTTGTTTGGAAGGGGAAGAAAGAGAAAGATTTGGACCATTGATCTCAAGAAGACAAAACCTTTACAAAGGCTGAATATAATTGACTCACACATTAAAATCCCATAAGTGAAAAACTAATAGATCTGATAATATTTATAATTAAACTGAACAATAAAATAATTGAGAATTTTTTTAAAATTTTTTTATTTTTTCCATCCACTTTTGTGAGGTTTAATGCAAAAGTTTAAAATTGAAGGGGTCATTCGCTTCCAACCTTAAGTATTGGGATTTTTTTTTAAAATTAACCCCTAAAAATATTTATAAATCGTTGAATTTTTATACTTAATTCACTGGGTTTGCATCCTCTATGAAACATAAGGGAATCTGCTGAGAATTAGAGTTGCAGAAGTCTTGATATATGATGACCAAGAGGAAACAATCACCAATACAAGGCCAGCTTTAGAAAAACATAATAAGAATGTTTAATGTTATGCCTATTCAAAAGACTAACTTTGATGGATCATCCCAAATTTGTATTCAGGCCAAAAATTCACTTATTTTAAAATTCAACCCCAATAATTAATGGTATAACTGATCATACACAGAAAATCTGTTATTACATTTGGTAAAAACTCTGATAGAATCTTCCTACAAACTAGTAATGTGTTTATATTAAGAGTTTTAATTATTTTATGGGTTAATGAGTTTAGCTCAACCTATTATAACTCATTTATTAAACGGATTAAAAATAGATTGAATTTGTTTTGCACCCAATCCAACCGGCCCATTTACCAAGTTTGATGGAGCATCCCAAGCAGTATTCAGGCCAAAAATTCACTCGTTTCAAAATTCAACCCCAATAATTAATGGTATAACTGATCAACCTCAATAATTAATGATATAATTGATCATACACACACAGAAAATCTGTTATTACACTCGGTGAAAACACTGAAACATCTAATAGAATCTTCCCACAAATTAGTAATGTATTAATATTAAGAGTTTTAATTACTTTATGGATTATTGGGTTTAATCGAACTTATTATAACCTGTTTATTAAACGGGTCAAAAATAGATTAAATTTGTTTTGCACCCAACCCATTTTGAACCAACCCAACCCGCCCATTTGCCAAGTTTGATGGAGCATCCCAAGTAGTATTCAAGCCAAAAATTCAGTTATTTTAAAATTCATCCCCAAAAATTAATGGTGTGACTGATCATACACACAGAAAATCTGTTATTACATTTGGTAAAAACGCTGAAACATATGGTAGAATCATCCCACAAACTAGTAAGCTTATAGTTTACGACAGTTCCATCATACTGGAACCAGGGAACAATGACCAAAACAAATTCAACATGGTATCTTAAGCAAATTACACTTTGACCCTTTGAACTATGGCCCTCATTTTATATTCCCCTAAATTATCTGTTTTTCAAATTACACTTTAAACTATTAGCTTGAATTTCATATTGCCCAAGGGTTAACATTTGCCCAACTTTTCAAGGTAAACCAAGCCAAAAGGGACTTCGCTCATTTGGTGAGAGAAAGAGCACATGATCTCCTAACATTATGGAATTTTATTTTTGTTCTGATTTGCTGTGAAAAATTAGGCAGAAGCGGACGATTGAGACAATATGAAACTCAAACTAATAATTGAAGTTTACAGGACAATGTGAAATTCAAACCAACAGTTGAAGGTGCAATGTAAGAAAGCGGATACTTTAGGGGCAAAGTGAAACAAGTGGTATAGTTCATGGGTCCAAGTGTAATTTGTCCTAGTACCTTCATTCTTTTTTCTGTGTTTCTTTAGATCCACTTCTTGATTCAGGCTGGAGTTGTACATAGTCTGTGGGTCCATAAGGTTCAAACAAATCTTGAAAGAAGCCCTTCTTTCTTCTGGGATTGCACCCAATGTCTTTGCACAACTGATCATTGTACCATATATGAAGAGCACCAATGCAAGATCTTTGATAAGACTTGCCAGCATATTGTTTCTGGTAATTTTCCCACATTATAACATCCATTTCCATTTCCTTTATACTTGGCAATTTGAAGGTTCCATCAAGAAAATGTGCTAGCCACTGGCACCTGATTTCGAAGGTGTATAGACTGCCAAGGCTCTCCGAGTATCCTATTATCGCTAGTCGTGGAATTCGTGGATGAATCATCTGCCTAAAACAGCAAAAAAAAAAAAAAAGGGACTAAAACAAAATGACACGAATTGAATTATTTAGGGATCAAATTTCATTAGTCCAGACTCAATTGGGTTAGGCCCAATTAATGAGATAAGTCCAAATTATCTACAAAGTAGGTAAGGCCCAACTAGTAGATTTTAACCCAATGTCTAAGGAGTTCAGAAGAATTATTGCACGTGACTAGTAATTGTCGGGATAGCCACTCTCCTAGATGAAGACTATCTTTAACTGTACCTATCCTTGTTGTACTTATCCTCCCTGAATGATTAGGCACTTATTCATCACGTTACTGTCTCAACTAAGACTATGTGCCTACAAATTGTATACATTTTCCACATGAAGGGGGCATCTCTCTCTACACACCTCCACATACAGTTATCTTTTATAGCAACCTCAACATACCTAGAACTTACTCGTGTTTTCACCTCAACTACTTTATCAATAAAGTCTTTCGACCACCGTTGTCTTGTTCAAAGTGGAGCAGATCATTTTGACCGAACCATTCTATAAGACTATATCTGTGTGTTGTTTGTGTTGATCTCACCTTTATATTTCCTACATTTATTACCCATATTAGTTACTCGACTGTTGATTGTGCATAAATCCACTTTTATGTATCATCAAAATTGATATAATGAGAACTAAACTAACAAAAAATGTATATTTTAGGGACTAAAAGTGTTATTAATCCTTTTTAATTAGGTAAACTTTTTTAAAAAACTTAAAATTTTAAAAGGACCCCAAAACTTTTGAAAACTATAGTGGGGGCAACTTAATTTATGAAAATGTGCTCAAGTGCTAGTCCGGAACAAGCAGCAAGAGAAGCCATACTATTTTCTTTGCAACTTAGACCAATGGATATGCAATTGGAAGGAGATATTGCAAATGTCATAAACAACTTATGTGATCAGAACCAAAAAGATTTCTTTCTTAGGAATTAATTTGTTTGATTTGGTCGACTTGCTAAACAGACATAAAAAATTTAGTTTTTTTTGTTAAAAGATTGGGAAATAAAAGTGATATTTATTGATAATTTTGATACATGGGTAGGTAAGGGGCCCCTGACTTTGTCGTGCCTTGCCTCTTATTATATATTTTTGAGCAATAAAACCGCGATCGTTTTTTCTATAAAAAAAAGTTAGTGAACATACCTGTAGAGAGGAATTGTGGAAGTTTGTGACTTGATTATGCATTTTTGAAAGGTTGGAGAGGTGAAAATATTTTTGATCTTGAGATCACCTCTACATCCAGTGGCAAAGATGACAAGATCAGTTTTGAGAGGCTCAACTTCTCCATCAATAATCAAACCTTGTTTGTAGAAGCTGAAGCTCTGTGATTTCTTTAAAACGATACTTCCTTCTCTCACTTTGTCATAGAAATTTTCAGGCAGCATGATGATTAGACAAGAAGCAATCTTTTGAAAAAAGCTGACTTTCGGTATCATTCCATACTTTTTCAAGGGGAGTTTCCATCGAAGATAGCTCTCCACAAATTTTGAGATTACCCACCTCTGAAAGATTGCAATTATTAATTTAATATCATAATTTTTGTATCTCAAGATGGTTCGAGATGTTTTGGACAATGGTTCATAAATAAATTTTTAAATGTTTACGTTGTTTTTATTCTGGTTACAAAATACTTTTGAAATATTTCTGTTTCCAAACCGATCGAAACAAAAATCGAAATTTCATTACAATGCATAATTTTGGTCACTGATTTGTTTGCGAAATATTGATCGAAACATACCGAAACACTTCCAAAAATATGAATTTTGATATTCAATCACTGATTTGTGTTTATTTCTATATACACGAAAACGTTCTAGATGTTTTGAATTGAAATTTAGTTTTTTAACAAAAATTATGCACCGAACGACAAAGAACTTACCAATGGTGAAAGTAGGGTGGCCAAAACACTGAGTAGAAAGGTTTCGCCAGGTTTGTGAAACAAGAGTTCTGCGAAGCGATTGAAGTATAAGGCACCAAGACTAACTCCCCAGAAGTAGACACTGGGGAGCATCCAATAAATTGTTCGTTGAATCAACGTGCAAGGGTAATTCGTACCTAATTGGAAAATTAGCACAATTTTGTTAACAAAGTCGAATTAAAGGATTAAGACAAGTTTTAAATCTTAATGTAGGAAAGATGTTTTTAATTATTACTTGCTCGGTCGGAGTTTAGACGAGCAAGCAGAGCCCAAAAAAGAAGGAAACTCATCACAGAGCAGTTGACTAGAAGTGTTACCGTGGAGAAATTAATCACATTTGAGACTTGCACAAATTTTGTGATGAAGTTAACATGTAAAAGCAGATAAGAGGATGTCATTCATTCAACTAAAGGTTCGAAGATATAAGAGTCAATCTTATGATTAACGGTTTAATTAGGGGTGTTTATGAGTCGAGTTACCCGACCAACAAAATAGACCCGATAGATGGCCTGCTCGAGCGAGCGCCGAGTCCAATATCTTTAAATAGAGGGATTGAGTTTACTCTCAAACCCAGTACCCTGCCCGAAGACCCGCGCCGTCAAGCCCGACCCGGCCCACCCTTCCTTAGAAAAAAAATTATACTTTACATCATTAAATTTGAAACTTTAAAATAAATCTCCAAATATCGAAATTTGAAATTTTAAAAATTTATATATTATAAATAATGTATTATTTTCTTTTTCATATACTAAGCATATAAGTTTTAAATGGTAAAATAATACAAATGACAGATAAGTTAGTAGGTGTGAACTTAATCGGGATTTATTCATTCTTTGAATGCAGTTCATTATTTTATTTTTATCCATTTTGAATTTACTTTTGATTTAAAAATATAATCTACACAAATATTAAGTCACAAAAATATTAATTATTTTTAAATAAAGATGCATATAAAAAAGCCCGTTCAACAAGTCTGTCTAATAGGTTCACGGGTTGGGCTACGGGTAGCCTACCCCTACTCGAAGTCAGGCCCGACCCGTCCGATACCTCACTTGAGTAAAAGCTTGGGCCTACATTACCCAGACCCCGAAAAAAAATTACGCGCCTAACCCGACCTGGCCCATGGACACTCCTAGGTTTAATGGAAAGCATGATTCTCAATAGAGAACAAAAAGAGAAACAAGATTCACTTTAGCGAAAGGCACTGAACTATAATTTGTTTTACATTGGCCCGTCAATTACTTGAATAGGTTACAAATTGCCCAAAACACAAAACATCCTTCATCTTCTAGATGGAGAATGTTAACATATTCGGGCAAAGTGAAATATTGTGACACAGGTCGGGGGAAATTGAAACAATTTTTTTCAATATCTAGTGGATTTTAATCATTCGGGGCAATGTGGGATAAATAATCATAGTTGAAGGTGTAATATAGAAAACATGATAATTAAGGTAGCAAAGTGACATAAATCTCTTAGTTTAAGCTGGCAAAGTGCAATGAAGTGTAAATGGAATAAAGATTTTGCTGAGTTGAGTTGAAAAGCGTCTGATTTGAAGTTGCCTCCGAAAGACAAAATGCATGTGAAGTAAGTGAAAGTTCTCTCACCATTTGCATTGGCACATTCGACTGCTATGTCTACTGCAGATTTAGAAGAACCTATGACCGCAATTCTCTTTCCTTTAAGAAATTCTGCAGCAACTGCATTGTCCATAGCAGAGTAGTCCACTGAATGCATCACCTTACCATTGAATACTTCTGGGCCTTGATCTTGAGGGAACTCTGGGATGTTTGGTAGACCACTGAATCTTCCATTGCAAAGAATGACAAACTCAACTTCATATTCCTATCCCAACAAAAACAACCAACAGTCCTTTTTGATTGAGTAATCAATGTAACAAGAAGCCAAGAATGCCTAGTTTCTCTTCCCATTCTATCTTTTCAAACGAACACATATTTTACCCAGATTTCACAACAAGAATTAGGGTCTTTTGACACAAGTTTTTTTGCGGCAGTAATACTTATCATCACAAAAAGCGTGTTCATTTTTCAACCATAATAAAACTTACAAATTCTTTGATTCAAGTAATATTTTTTTGGGTCAAGTTATAAAAAGAGAGATGTTTGAATTTGATCCTAATATTTTTGTTATAACTTGACCCCGTTTAGCTATAACTTGATACAAAAAAGTAATATGCTTCGGTACCCTACTTGAAGGCTTAGACTAAGTATGTGAAAATGGATGCAAATAACCAAAAGTGTGTGCAAAAATATGCATACCTCTGTAGAGCAGTCTTGTGTGTTTTCCACAAGTACTTTCCATTTTCCTTCGGATCCAAATGCCTTACCTGTTCCACCCCACTGATCCCATCCCTTCATCTCTTCGTGAGACTCCCCATCATAATCTATAGTGATGACTTTGGAGTTCAACTTAATGTAAGGGAAGAGACCAAAGTGTTTGGCATATGATTCAATATAATCCAAAACTTGGGTATTGTGAGGATGTTCATCTTCTACAGAACAAGGCCACGGGAAATCAGAAAACTGGTAAACTTCTTTGACGTTCTGGAGTTTAGTGCACTCTAAGGTTTGAGCCCAAACACCTCCAATGGTGCTATGAGCTTCAAAGACTATGGGTTTGAGTCCCTTTGCAATGGAGTATTTGCAGGCAAGAAGTCCAGAAATTCCTGCTCCAATGATCGCCACCCTCTCCTCCATTGATGTCTAACGATCTACTAACTGTAGTTGTAGTTGTAGTTGTGAGAGTCTCGTGCAATTGATCACCCAAATTAGCTTATTGTTATATGTAATCGAGTTTGCGACTATGCCTTCGAGAAAGGATGGTATAAATAGTTAGAAGATTCACGAGTCCACTTCAAAGATTATTTTTTTTTTTTCCGTTGAACAAATCAAGGATTACATAAATTAAATTATTAGGAGTTTCCGATTTGAATAAGTGATATCCTGCTGTACATGGATATTTGACTCAACTATATTTATATTGTAATTATATTTAGACTCCATGAGATTTGGTTATTTAATTAGATGGCCCCATCTTATTTTAGAAATGATTTTGCAACCCCTTAAATGCAACATTTTGGAGACGAAAGCAGCGGAAGTGAAAAAAAAAAGACCACTTTAACTCCAAGGCGTGGCTTAACGGCTGGTTTGGATTTCTGGTTTCAATTTCTTCTTTTACTAAAGTAATATTTCATGTATTCAGTTTTAATCTTACTTATCTTAAATTATTTCAATTCTAGAATTTCTCATTAAATTTCTTATTTATTATTAATTTTTTTTTATTTTCATCAACTAGTACAATATCGTTTGCAGATGACATATATCATGTGAGCTCCTAAATGTGCCCGAGGCTCAACCCTTTGAGTTTTTCATATTTTGAAAGATAATGAAATATAATTTAAAAAGTCACATCAAACACTCGACAAATTTGACACACGTGAGAATGACGTGTTGGTGGCTACCCTTATCCTCGAGCTACACATTTATTACTAGGCCTAAAGAAAGTATGTGGTCGCTCAAGATTAAATGGTGCACTGATATACCCACTCAAGAGGCCAAACATTTAATGATCTCTTTCCGACGTTTAATGAGTTATACTAAACATTTAAACAGTAAAACACCAAGCATTGACTAGCATATCCTGAATCACCTCCCGATCAGTCCACATAAGATAGAGTCATGCCTCTGTCCGTTGTTCATGAGATTGGATGTGAATCTCTAAGTAAATGTGATGGTATAACTAATCATTTTCTATTATCTATCTCGGCAGTTGTTTCTAGTGATGTCAATGGACCCTCATGTCGGATCACCATTATTGTCTACATTTGGGGCATGATGTCCCCGGGGCTTCTATAGGTTCTAAGGATGAGGTTGAGACTGCTCGGTTTGGATTGTCCAATAGTAGTGTATTTTCGGTGGGATCCATTCTTCTTTGTGTCCTTTGGTAGGGATGTACCGATTCACATCCCATCAATATCTATAGGTACAAGGGCGAATACAAGGTGGGGACAATTGGGCAAATGTCTAATCGAAATATTTAAAAATTTTGGGGTTTTTTTGAAATTTTAAAAAATTTACAAGTTTTTTTTTTTGAAAATCTTGCCTCCACAAAAAAAAAAAAAATTGCCTGTAGTTTTATATTGTAAAAATCAAATTGGATTATTTCATAAATTTAAAATTTAAGTTTGTTAACATATTGGTTTTTAACTTGAATTCAATTTAAGTCAGAATTCGATTAGTTAGATATGAACTGATAATTTTGACCGATTATCCAACTTCAAATCAATTATGTCCTATTTCATGAATTTAAATTTTAATATACCAAACTATAATTTGATTGTGATATGATTCGATTTATTGCATTCATATATGTGGATATATGATGGAATTGAGTATTGCTTGATACAATCGAATTGAACTAAAATATAATTTAATAAAATTCAACAATAAATAACTCACTTATCCACTCAAATATTTAATATTTACTTAAATTGGATATAGAATGTTAAAAATAAATTGTTGGAATATTCATATCAGATTAAAAAATATTTTTAAATCGAATTTAAATCTCTTAAAAATCAATTTGTATTTTATATGATTTCTATGTGAAAATCAGTCCGAATTCACAAAAAAAAAAAAAATTGATGATTGTTGTGTGATTGTTCTCCTCAAACTATTGATTGCCCCCACTATAGGACAACTCTAGCTTCGCCCCTACACGGGTAATTTGTATAATTTATCTCCCAGGGAGGTAGTTGTTTTCTAAATGCCACAACCTAATGGGCGGGTGCATCTTTCAGATAGAAAGTGAGATTAGTTCTTATTTTTTTATTTCTCAACTAAGAAGAAACACATCTAATTATGCGAGAAACCCAGGGGACCTAAATGTAATTATTTACTACTGTCCATGAAACCATAGTAGACTGGCAATAAGCTTCACCTGACCCCCATAGATCCCATTTTAGCAGTATTTTTGTCTCTTAATGGGGCACACCATATGCAGAACCAAGTCAAAATTTAATTGTATAAAAGCACTTATTTTAATTTAAAATTTTATTTGTCGCATAATGGTGCATTATATGCAGAACCAAGTCAAAATTTAGCTGTATAAAAGCACTTATAGTAATTTGCATCCTCTTGGATTTGGCTCTGGGTAACTGGTCTAAAGGTTATACTCGACTGGTGTCCTATTGTATTTGGATTGTGTCATGATCCGCAAACATGCTCAAGAATCGAGAGAAAAATTGGCCTTCCTCCGACCTATTCATTGATTGATTTGTATTGTATGTGGACTGAAATCTCCTTCTTTCTCAACTACTAATTGGTCCACATCAATTAATTATGGCACAGACATCTAAAAGCCTGGTTGCTTGACCTTTTCTTCTTTCACTATGGCACTACATCTAAAAAAGTCTTTTTCGTGTAGTTTTTTTTTGGGTCATTCAATAAAATTAAAATGATACAGCCAAAAGATTAGTATCAATGATTTAGCATTACGAAGAACAGTACACACCAACTGAAAAATGATGGAAGTTTGGCGCATAGAAACTGGCTTATAGTTCTTGGAAATGTCTTTCTAGCTGGATCCATTAATTTATGGACAAACATGAGACCATTTTGAAGATAAATTTTGTTTATTTGATTTAATTTCCTAAGGACCTCTTGGCTTATTATGAAGCAACGGTGTAAAGGGTAGAGAGGATGATAATGACATGATTGGGACCTCTTGGCTCAATTCAGATTTAGAATTCTCAATTCGAGTTTTATCTAAACATGTCCTTTAACATGAACCTTTTGAAGCAAAGTAATGCAAGTAGTTAATTTTTTTAGTTTGGATTACACCAATCGGGTTAAAGTTTGTTTTTTCATTTGTCAATTTAGATTTCGACTCTATTTTGGTTAAAATCAAGTTTAATTATTGTGTGGAACAACTTGGGGGTGAATTCCAAGTTAAACTCAAAGTTTAATTCATGTCTTCTTTTCTAATAGGACATCAATCAATGTTTCTGTCGTGTTGAACTCGTATTCACTCATTCATATGAGACCCTAAAACCCGAATTCACAAATTCATATTAGGTCCTAAAATCTGAGATCTCAACCAGAGATTTCTCATACTAAAAAAAGGCCTAGGTACTAACAATATGTGCCTCAATATTAAATTTGGAAATTTTGGGTTAGACTATGATACTCAAAAAAATTTGGTATTGTACCACTTACTATTTTTTATGGTATAACAATGCACCAAGTGCGTTGCACTTGGAAAAAAATTAAAAAAAAAATTTGATGAATTTATAACAATAACTTGAAGTATTTGTGAAATTAGGGTAAAAGTGATCTCATGTTTGTTAAGGTTGATAAGTCAAGTCCAATAGTCCAACTCATGTTACAAGTCCAAGGGCCCAACTCCAAGAAGTCCAGTTAGTCAAGCTTAAAGGAGTCTGCACCCCAATCAAATTTATCAGGTTTCACGAGTTATATCAGTAGAGCAGCATGCAAGGCCATCCTCAGGCGCCCAAGTCTCCTCTGCAAGCGCCTAGCTCTCCTCTGCAGGTGCCCAGGTCTCCTCTGTAGGCGCCCAACTTTCCTCATCTACCACCTTGAAGTAAAAGTAATCCAAGAGTCTTATCATCTTTCCCTTGGAAAGAGTCAACATCCACGTTAACATTTGACCGAATCCTATAAAAAAACACCACAACTGTCTAGATTGTTGAGGAGAAATTGTGAACTCCACTAGAATAATTATGTAGTTGCTAATATCTCGCCCAAATTTGTTATGAGGACGACTATAAATTGTAAGTCCTACCAACACTTGGGGGGCATGAGGATGGGCAGGATCACACTTTTGTCTGAGCACGACTCTCCTCCCCCTCTCAAAAGTCTGTACTCTTTGCTCCCTACATCCTTGAGCTAATAAAATACCAGGCGACCAAGGTCATTTAAAAGTGAACGTAAGTCACGATTGACTGAACCACTATAAATTACTTATGTCTCTCTATCTCCTTATTTTACTCTTGCATTTATTATTCACTTGACAAGTGGTATGCAAAATCATTTTGTGCATCATCAAATGTTATTTATGTGACACCAATACAATTCTAAATTGTGGATTTTTCAAAATTTTATATAATTAATTTGGTCAGTCAAATTTTTTATAGAATACGCACAAGGTTTCAAGTTATACATCGATTTGTTATATACTTATTTTTTTCTATCTAGCAAAAAAATACGTTATTTTATAGGATTTTGGTGGCAGATGTTCAAATGCAAGTCTCATTACGGTGCTTTACAAGGGATCCAGGGTGGACTTTGTAGGTCACCTCCACTTATTCTTGTGTTTAGACGCCACCTATTGTAGCATGCACATCTTGAAGTTTTCGACATCCATCATGGAATATAGGGCTAATCTCATTTTGCATTTTAGAAAATATTTCAATTATTAATTTGTATTTTTAAATATTAAAAATTTTAATTTGTACACTCAATGTTATAAATTAGCAATAATATAGACCTTGTCCGAATTATCGTTCATTTTTTTTGGTATAAATTGAAGCACGTAAGTTGTAAGTGTTTCGAGTATTGACTTATGTATAAATTCACAAACTATTGACATCTCGTGTGAGTTGCACATGATAAAGTTAGATTATATTTGATTAATGAAACCTCATTTTTTATACACAAAACAATGTCAAATTGGTCGCAAATAAAAATCTACAGCAATAGACATACTTTATCATCATGCCTAAAACATTTGCAACTCACGTGTTTCAATTTATGACGAAAAATTCAACGACAATCTATGTTGGGTCCACATTGCTACTTATTCATAACATTGAGAGTATAAATTAATATTTTTTATGTTTGAGAGGGTAAATTGAGAATCGAAACATCTTTCAAGGTATAAAATGAGATTAGCCCTTGTATATAACTAGAGTTATAAAGTAAGTGGTTTAAAACTCCTAAAATAGTTAGCCTCAAAATAATGCAAGTGTTTTTTCCCATTAAGTTAGTGTGAAAAAAAACAGAGTAATTTGTTTGTGTGAAAACACAATATTTGTGTGCAAAGAGAGAGAGAATTTGATGGGCAAGGGAGACACTAAAGCGGGAGAAGTGGGGGAACGATTTAAAGAGTTGAGGAGGAAATGAATGGACGCTTAGAAGGTGGGGGTTTTCGGTTGTTGGACTACTAAAATACAAGAGATAAATGCACAGTACAATAGACAATGAGTGTTATACAGTTATTCATGTGAATGATAATTTGGATATTTAAGAAATGTTAGAGGACAATTATGGTAATTAAAAAAAATTTAGCTTAGTAATTTTTTAGAAGTAATATAGATATTGATATAGATTTATATCACTTTTTACGTAAAGTTTATTAACTTTTGGGGTGCATTCATTTTTATTTTTATTTTTGGTTCAGTTATTATTTGGGTTTATTAACCACTTTTTAGGTAGAGTTTATCACTGTTTGGGATAGAATTTACTATTTTGTGGGTTTTTTTTTTTTTAATTTTTTGGTACGACACCTTTAAATTTTTTGGATTGACACAGTGCTATCATAACTTTATGTATGATGTATCCCAATCCCACAGAATTAATGCATTTGGGCCTGTGAAAATGCACAAACAGTAAAATAACCTAATTCCAAAGGATTCAATTATGTTATTATTCTGGTCCAAAAAAACAAAAAAATGCTATTATAAATGTTGTTTTGGTAGGAAAAATCCTTATCAAGTATTTATCTTTTGTCTTGTATATGTAACGCCTAGCGGTACCTATGTAGTCAGTCCTAAATCATACCCATTAGATCAAGGGGTATTCAAGCGTACAACCTTGACTTATTATATTAAGAGGACTCCATTCGACTTATTTTCAAGGGATTTTACTAATCAAAAGCTTGGACAAAGGAAACTGAAAACATTTGAAATCAAATTATATCAAATAAATGACATTGTCATGCAAAAAATTGGGACAAAAAATTCAGGAATCTTGGGTAAATTGGAAGAAATATAATTCACAACCTAAAAAAACCCCAAAATTCAACAATTATTTAAGTAAGCTGGACAAGTTAGGATTTGTGTCAAAATTCTTCTGTTGCAGTTATATTTAGGAGTGTCTATGTGCCGAGTCAGGCTAGGCCCACAAATTTTTTTTGGGATTGGGCCTAAGTAGGGTAAATCAATCCCTTACCCAGGTGAATTATCGAGTGGGCTGAACTGAGTCTCGTGTATGGATAAACTATCTGCAACCCAACCCGCAAGCATGTTGGGTGGATCTTTTGGGCGGGCCAAACGGACATGCTGCAAGCTTTTTTTATATATAACTTAATTAACAAAAAATAAATATTTTTGTAACTTAATATTGTTATAAATTATATTTTTGAATTTAAAATAGAATCAAAATGGACTAAAAATATAGTCAAAATGGACAAAAAATAAAATAATAAATAATTGTATTTATAAATAGGAGAAGAATTGCATTACAATAGAATAAGCACATTCTAGTTGGCTCCTATCCACCTATCTATCATCTGCACAACTCTACCCTTTAAAACGTGTATACTTAAAATATGGAAAAGAAAATAATATATTATTTATAGTATTTAAATTTCTAAAACTTCAAATTCTTGCGTTTGGGGACTTATTTCAAAATTCAAAATTCAATGGTCTAATAATCTAATTTTTTTTCAAAGAAAAGAGTGGGCGGGCAAATTCTTGGGTCAAGTTTTAATGGATTTTTGCGGGCGAACTATTAGGCCAAGTTTTAGGCTGAGTAATGGGTTCGAGGGCAGATTCAAGTCCTCTTTTTAAGAATATTGGGCTTGGGTTTAGACAGATCTCCTATCGAACTTATCGAATTTCGACCTTATGTTTTTTAGGTCGGATAATATAACCCGTGGCTAACCTGTCCGATGGCCACCCGTAGTTATATCTGATCAACTACACAGAGAAAGTGCAGCCTCAAGAGTCTTTGGTGGGTCCTATTCCCCTGTAGCATTTTCAATGATAGCTGTGAGATCCATACTACAATAACCCAAAATGGATATGAGCTTTTTAATCACAAGCCACAAAGAAAAGGAGATAAACCCACAAAACAGACAAAATAATACTAGGCTAAATAGCACTTTGACTCTCTCAAGTCTCAGCTATGGCTCCAAGCTCACTTATTCATCTCAACTATTACACAGTTCCAAAATTAAACATCCATTATGTTTTGGACCGAATATGTAGTAAAATACTTGTTTTTTATGTCTATAGTTGTGATAATGTCAAATCGATATTAGAGGTGCAATGTTAATATGAAACTTAAAATTAAAGTTGGAAGTGCAATTTAAGAGATGTGATAGTTGAATGGGCAATGTGAGATATCAGACATATTAGAGGACCAAAGTGTAATTTTCTCATAATATTTACTGTAACAGCCCAGAGAAAAACACAGACCTCTTGGTACAACTCCTATGGCTACCATCAAACCACCATATCCACTTTCTTCTCCACTAAAACAGAACATTTCTCCTCCTCCTCAAACTCCACTAGTTTCCTGCAAGTCCATCTCTGAGTCTTTGGCTTGTTTTTCAATATCATACTTGAGCCGACAACGAGGACAAGTTGCAGCCTCAGTGGCATTCAATCCTTCAGGGAACTTCGACCTCTCTCTATATGATGAGGAAGATGGTAAGGGCTTCCCTTGTTTCACTAAAATTGTCAGTTTGTCTTTTGGAAGGTACCTTTTGGTGATGCTGTGGTGGATGTAAGAATTTAAGGCCCCTTCTTGGATAGGCATAAAGTGTTAGAAAAAATTCCTTAGAGAAAGTTAGATATACGCAATTTTACTTTTGGAGAGATGATTTTCAGACATTTGGACATAAATGACTGAAATTGGGATAGGCCGACTATTATAATCATTCAAACTAGTCTATAACAGTATCTATCTACTTATTGTAATGCTAAATTTTTGAAGACTCTATGTCATCTTCAAGTTCATAAACTTCAGGCATATTAATCTGTTGAAGTGATACCATGTGAAGGATTGCCTGGTTCTGAGTACAACCATTTTGGAGTTTGAAGAGAACTATTCCATTGCAAATCTGCGTGGCTGAAGTGTTTGATAACTTAAAAGAGTTTTAGCGCGAGTTTTAGTGCTTCATTGTACAATGCGTTTTAATCCCGCATTGGCCAAACTCAAAAGGGATAATATTATACAACGTGAGTCAGTGAAATGAAATGTGCATATGCGAAGCTATGTTCACCTGAAACAAATTAAGAAAATCATTGTACAATAGAAGCCAATGTTATTTAGATGCATCAAGAGCACTCCCCTTACCTGAGATAAGCAGCAAATACAGTTTAAGTTGCTCAAGACTAGCATGTTTTTACTTTGACAATTTTTGATTGGCAGAATCAGAGAAAGTTCAACCACCAATGCCACCCAAAGAAGGGCGATATGAAGTAGTAATTGATAATGATAGTATTCGTCTCCTAGACTTGGCCCCATTTCACTCTGCCACTGGAATCACCTCTCCTTTGTCTGGTAAGTATGATGTTGAGAAATTTAACTCTCTATGTTCGTATAATTAAATTACTGATAAGCACAAGTCTTTTTAACTGCTACAATCATAGCTGAGCCTAAGGAGTTTCTTGAACGTACAATTGGCTTCACCATTAACTACACTAGAGAAGATGAACATGATCCTAGAGAACTATCAGAGTTTCCTGAGATAAGACTCTGGTTTTTGAGACTTGATGCTACTTATCCATGGCTCCCTGTCTTGTTGGACTGGCGAGCTGGAGAACTTGCGCGTTATACAGCCATGTTGGTTCCTCATCAGGTAACTATTAGCGTGTGTGCATGAGAGAGAGAGAGAGGATTTACCGAGCAAGGAACCTAACTTTCTTGGAATGTTGGTTGGCAGATGAGCATGAGAATGGGAGTAGTCTTTAACCCCGAGGCACTAGAATTGTTCATCATGAAAAAAGTTTTTATTGTATATTCTTGGTTGAAGAAACATAATGTTCCAAAGCCTAGATTGAAGACAAAAGACATGGCTAGAATGCTTGGATTTGGGATTGGAGATGAACTATTTGACTTGATTGATGATCACTCGCTTGATCAATCATAAATTATTCAGACAAGAGCTCTGACTTACCATACAGCACAAGAAAAATCTGAATCAGATAAGCAATGGAAATTCAACAGCAGAAAGGGGACATAAATTTCGCTCGTGGATGCGCTGAGTGGCAGCATTTGAAACTTCAACCTGAGTTCATACTCCAGAGTTTTTGTCATGGTTTTTTTAGTTTCTAAGTGTGAGTCTTGATGATTTGCATTGCTCTATAATCTTACAGTACTTACATAACATGCCCAAAATTTTATTTTTGTCAATAAGCAATGTAGTTTCTTGATCTTTTACTTTTATAGATAAGGTATATACATAAATCAATCTAACATGAATTGAGACCGAGTTTAAAGTAAATTATATATTAAAGTTATACCTTGGATGCTTTACATAAGAGTAACCCTTTCAAAACCCCCAAACTGCACTGGTTCAGTACACACCATTGCAGGCAAAATAATGGGAGAATTCTTAAAAGAATTGTAGAATTGTAGCCATAAATCTGTTAATAATTTGAACTTTATGTTTTCAACTCTTAGAAACACTTTTTTCTTCATTGAAAGAGGATTGGAATCAACACAGTCGAAAAAGAAATAGTGGTAATATTGTTAATCATAAGGGTGCTTCTCTATCCCCACTTGATAATACAACTCCCTCCGCTAAAAGAGAATGGTCACCAATAAATAGATAAAATTGAATGTTTAATATTACATGAAGCAGTTATAAACTACGAATTTGCAGTAATGAGTGGCATGTCGTGTATAAACCAGTAGATTTACATACAGGGCAGAGGTTTTTGCATCCTAACCATGGTTTAATACACTCAGTATGGAAGCGATGTCCACAATTCAGTGTCCCCAAATCATCATATTCCACATAATCCTCCTGCCATTAAAGCAATTATGTTGCATAACTTCCTCAAGGAATATTAAACATTTTTGTCAGACAAGAAATACTAATTAAAAGTACCTGGCATATGCTGCAAGAGTCCTTCTCAGCGTTCTCTTCTGCAAATAAAAAGTACTTACTGTGTTTGAGGGACTTAAGTATTGTTTCTTCAGACAAACCCGTGCTAACATGCCCTATATAATCTCCCAAAGCCAAGAGCTCCTGATATGAATCAAGACAGAAAGATGAAAAAATGATGTATTTAAATTGTATGAATAAAGGAATTTGTATGAGTTTACCTCATAGGACATATTATCTACATCTAGTCTCATGTCTATATAACGATCACGAGTATCAGTTACATAGAACAATAATGACCGACTTGAAAATGGAATGTCCTGCTCCTGTAGTAGGAACAACATGTGAGCTAAATGGAAGTGATACTATCAATGGAAATGGTATATTAATTAGAAACTAAGACATAAGAAGCACCTTCAAGCATGCTTAAGAGTTTTTTTTCCTCAGAAGTTACTTGAGATTTAAATTTCATATGCTTAATGTGTGCTTCCTTGTAATATCATTATTCAAACAGCATCCAGTAAAAGATGGTGCAATTGCAATCAAACCCCCGCTAGAGACCTTTTTATGAACAGCTATTGGCATTTAGCAGCGCTTGTTCCAGCCACAGTGTGACAAAGAAGTGGTATTCATTTTTTAGCGAAGACAATGCTGTTGTGTCGTATCTCTAAGCCCTTTGTGATGTTATTATAGCAGATAAGAAATTTTAAGAATATGCAGCATGACAAATCCTTTTTTCATCACGTAATGGCAGCATGTTAGCCACCTGGGACTTGATGGAGTAATATCCTGGAGCTAAACATTCAATTAAAATAATTTTACCAATCAAAATGAAGTTGGATTATTTTCGGGTTCGAAAGAACAAATTGCAAGTTTTACAGAAATGTAAATGAAGGGCATATTATGTCAATCACTTTTCCTATCCTGGATTGCCAAGAAGATTGTTGAAAAAGAATCATGGAACCAAGGAACAGCAACTTTAGCCCACCATGTGACATTTTTCTTTTTTTTTTTTTTTTCTTGTAAATTTCTTCTTCACAGTCAACAGAGCATTTAAGAGAGAGGGGCAATTTCGGCTGTGGTTTCATCTCAGTACATGTTAACAAGGTGCTTCCAAAAACTTGGCCACATGGATTGTGTAATAAACTAAGAAAGGTCCCTAAAAAAAGTCTGATTTGAGTAGAGCACGTGAAGCTTTTGTGTTAGGACAATCGATGAGGCCAAGTGTGCTATCAACATGTCAAGAATCACCAATATAACCAAAGGAGTATAAATATTTTATATAAACGTTAGCAACATACGAAAAGAAACATATACCGCTGGGGAGAGTCTGAAGTTCCCTCCATCATTAGCTGGTAAAATTCTTAGTGATGTTGAACCATTTAAAAAATTATCAGCTAGTCTAAGCGTATTGAGAACGGTTTCCTCAAATTGCCGTCTCAGAACATTGATATCAATCACATTCTGTGACTCAATCCCTTCTATGGAAGCAGGAGGGAAGCTTAGTTGAGATAGGTAATTTCCACCCCAAGTGGTAGACTCAAATGCTGTTACTAAAGACCTCGGAAGAGTATGCTGAAACACATAGGAAATTTGTGGAGGAGAGAGACTATGAAGGTATCTAATATGCTCAATTGTATCCGATGGTGAAAAGCGCAATGTGTCAGGAATGCCTCTGGAAACTGTCCTTGTGGCTCCTGAGAGTGGTGATGGTCTCCCCCTAAAGATGATTACTCCTGTTAATGACTCGATGGCACCAGAAATATTTGGGGTGCTCGATCTTTGGGGAAACAACTCCTCGTCACAATCTGACTGATTGGCTGAATGGTGGTCTGCCTTGTTTGTGAGTTGGCTAGGAAGGGTCGAAGCATGATCCATTAACTGATCAGATAAGAGTAAGCTTAGGGAACAGGTCGAACTTCTCCATAGAATATTACCAATGCCATCTAACAGGTTACTGAATTATTTACCTGCAGAAAGATAAAAACTCTAGCTTAATCCGTGAATGTTTATATAAGTTTCGAGAAAGAATAAGATTGCATCCATCTGTTTATTTATGCAACACTATAGCAGACTCATATCTCAAGGAAGAACACGTGACATTAAAAAAATTATGCAGCTAAGCACCTTCATCGGAATTCCTCCATAATTTTATCAGAGTTAACTACCTATAGAACACATGGAATGATCTAATTTTCCCCTTAAGATTCTGCCAAATACAGCCTAAAGTGGTTTAGCTAATACAACTTTTGAGAGATCTCTGTATCCAACTATTATTTTCCATTGAGGCCACGGAATTGGGGTCTATGAAAACAGAAGCTTCATTTTGTTTGGTTTATGCTTTAAATGGAGTTTTAATGTTTTATTTAGGAATTAGAAGTTGACCTTCCAGCAATTATAAGGTAGTGGCTGAATGAAATTTCAGATAAACAAAGGCTCTTAGAACGAAAACTAGAAGGTCCTTACCTATTATACACTAAATTCGCAATCTCTGTTATGTGACCCAACTGTTGCTGGTGTTTATGCATTGTTTTGACTCCTATACATAAAGGAAGACAAAACTCAAAAGTTCTCAAACTACTATTATGTATTATGTAAAGCACATGGAGAAATTGAGCACAGAATTGGAATACAAACACTTTATAAGAAATTTTGGGCAACTTACACTTTAATCCCCTCAATTATACCCCGCCTCATTCTACCCGTCTATTGTCATGCTTCCCCCATTTCACCTCAAACTATGATTATTAGTTTCACATTGCCCCAATTGCCGATGTCCACCACAAATTGAAAGGAAAGTTGAGTCACTCCTGCATTATGTGATATTTTTTTCACTTTGTCTTGAAATCTAATGACTCGTGGACATTTTTCGTCCAATCGAAAAAGGGCAATTTGATGTTAAGGTAATATGAGNATCCGATGGTGAAAAGCGCAATGTGTCAGGAATGCCTCTGGAAACTGTCCTTGTGGCTCCTGAGAGTGGTGATGGTCTCCCCCTAAAGATGATTACTCCTGTTAATGACTCGATGGCACCAGAAATATTTGGGGTGCTCGATCTTTGGGGAAACAACTCCTCGTCACAATCTGACTGATTGGCTGAATGGTGGTCTGCCTTGTTTGTGAGTTGGCTAGGAAGGGTCGAAGCATGATCCATTAACTGATCAGATAAGAGTAAGCTTAGGGAACAGGTCGAACTTCTCCATAGAATATTACCAATGCCATCTAACAGGTTACTGAATTATTTACCTGCAGAAAGATAAAAACTCTAGCTTAATCCGTGAATGTTTATATAAGTTTCGAGAAAGAATAAGATTGCATCCATCTGTTTATTTATGCAACACTATAGCAGACTCATATCTCAAGGAAGAACACGTGACATTAAAAAAATTATGCAGCTAAGCACCTTCATCGGAATTCCTCCATAATTTTATCAGAGTTAACTACCTATAGAACACATGGAATGATCTAATTTTCCCCTTAAGATTCTGCCAAATACAGCCTAAAGTGGTTTAGCTAATACAACTTTTGAGAGATCTCTGTATCCAACTATTATTTTCCATTGAGGCCACGGAATTGGGGTCTATGAAAACAGAAGCTTCATTTTGTTTGGTTTATGCTTTAAATGGAGTTTTAATGTTTTATTTAGGAATTAGAAGTTGACCTTCCAGCAATTATAAGGTAGTGGCTGAATGAAATTTCAGATAAACAAAGGCTCTTAGAACGAAAACTAGAAGGTCCTTACCTATTATACACTAAATTCGCAATCTCTGTTATGTGACCCAACTGTTGCTGGTGTTTATGCATTGTTTTGACTCCTATACATAAAGGAAGACAAAACTCAAAAGTTCTCAAACTACTATTATGTATTATGTAAAGCACATGGAGAAATTGAGCACAGAATTGGAATACAAACACTTTATAAGAAATTTTGGGCAACTTACACTTTAATCCCCTCAATTATACCCCGCCTCATTCTACCCGTCTATTGTCATGCTTCCCCCATTTCACCTCAAACTATGATTATTAGTTTCACATTGCCCCAATTGCCGATGTCCACCACAAATTGAAAGGAAAGTTGAGTCACTCCTGCATTATGTGATATTTTTTTCACTTTGTCTTGAAATCTAATGACTCGTGGACATTTTTCGTCCAATCGAAAAAGGGCAATTTGATGTTAAGGTAATATGAGAGGGGGCAAACTATAGTATAAGGAAGCAACATGCAATGTGCCTTCATTTTTTTTTTATCTCCAAGAATTTCCATATATTGTACATGGGTGATACAAAACCAAAAATCTTTTGTTGCATTTGTGTTTCACAATTTTTACTTACTTACTATAGCGTTTTAAAAGCATTATAAACCAAGGTTACTATTATGATGCGTTTCTAAGATTGATTGTTCACCAAACCCAAAACTCTTATCATGGTGTTGTGTAGACATATTAACAAGCAGGAAACAGGCATGTTAACATTATGTGGAGAGACAAGACTGGGGATACAAATATAAACAACTATTCATTCCTCAAATCCCAACTACTTTAGGTTGGCCATTCAACTGTATACAGGAATATATCCCATCAAGGAATAAGCAATCATAATGCAAAACAAATTAAAGATTACTCACATCGGAGTTGGGTCTAGGAACAGCACCACAAGCAACTTTTATATGCATCACTATAAGGATCAATTTGAAGGAACCAAAGATTGGAAACAATAAATATCTTCCTGAGAGAGAGAGAGAGAGAGAGGCTGGTCATTGATGACCAAATATACGAAGTAGCTTGGCGGTTTTTGTGGCGCGGATTCTTGTCAACCGTCATTTGAACTGAGGATCGGTGGTTCATGTGAATGGGTATTTTAGCTAAGGAAAATGCTATTTAGATCTAATTTGGGGACCTAGGGACCTAATTCAATACAATCATCGGATTGATTGTAGGTTTTATCTACGATTGAAACTCACAATTAATTCAATGGTTGTATTAAAGTCATATCATTAAGTCTCCAAATAAAATTCTTATAGTATTACTTTTTAGTGAATGGACATTTTAGGCTGGACTCGACAAGAACAAGCCAAACCTAGGGCAACAAAAATGACAACCAAAATGAGAATGTAATGGTCCAGTTGCATGTAATGGACACTAAATTAGTTTTGCACCCCAATGACAAAGGTTAAAACTACCAAAAAATTAATGGGTGTCAAGTTTTAATTTCAAGGGAAAATTGGAACTAAATCCTCTATCCCAATGTGTTTTGTCAATAAGGATAAAAAGTGAACTTTTGAGTAATAAAGGACATATAATTGTAATATATGAGATATGTGATCCACACTTGCTATCTGTATATTTTTAATGAGAAGAATATTTTTTTTCTTTATTAACTCATTTGGCTCTCTCTTCTATTCATTATATTCCCATTCATCTATCTATTTCGTCTCATTATTTCTCTCTGATTTATCTCTGTGTCTTATTGTTTCTCTTTCATCTCTCTTTATTTAATTTCTCTATAATCTATCATTCAGTTATTCGCTTTCTATAATCTATCATCTCCCTCATTCTCTGTCCTCTCTTTTCTTTTCCTGTTTTGAATAGAGACGATAGAATTTTTTTCAATTTCGAACATTTGCAATTAGAAGCGCCAATACAAACTAAGGTGTACGCTCCTGCCATATAATAAAATCCTCTATATAACTGGCTCAACGGTCTAAATTATGTGTCACCCGATTGGCCGAACTACAAACTATGCTCAAAACAAGGGATCTAAACGATTGTAGCTCTTGCCAAATGTTCGCTAGAACAGGTCCCAAAACTGTAGGCTCATCTCTCCAAAGATTCAACAATCTAAATATCCTACTTGACTCGTCTTCTAAAACAATTTCATCCACTCCTTGTTGTTGTGCAAAAATAATGGCTTCCATCACCACAAGTGTGTCTACTCCTTGGAAAGAATTCCTGACCTACATCTTTTTGCGCAACCCACTCCAAGCGAATGATCCAAATCCAAAACTTTACCACATAAATTTACTTTTAACTGACCTTTAATTGTATGTTTCCAACCGAGCTCGTGCCTTGGTTGAGGGAATGAGCCACCAGGTGCTTTCATCCCTAAGATTCTTTATCTATCTCCTCTTTTTCTATCCCTAAGAGCATCTAAGGGAAACGTCAAATGTGTTATATCAAATTTAAATTTAAAAACTTATGTGATAATTAACGCAAATAATACTTGTTGGAAGATAAAAATTCAAAGATAGCAAAACAATAAAAATACAACATAAATATAACGTGGTTCGATTCAGCATACCCAACTTAGTATGCCGTACATACATCCACGAGCCAAAAATGTATATTGATGTATTATTCATTGAAAAATTGATCATCTGATAACTGATTATATAATACACACCTTTATTTATAGGAATAAAATATTATAACTCAAATCTATTCAAATACAACTTGATTTTTTGTGTTTCCTATCACATGTCAAATATACCAATTCATGATATATTAAAACTCTTCCAATATAATCTTATTTGATTTGGTCACTATCAATAGTTTATTAGGACTTTCACATTGATTACGCAACAAACTCTCTTTCATGACAATTAGAGAGTTTGGGTCAAATTTCAACAACCTCCCTTAAACCAAACTCTTCAAATTTGGTTGTGCCCAACATGAGGCTTAACACCCTTGATTTTGATCACTAATTTTTAAGCACCACGTGCAAACCTGCTCTTTTGAGTTCCCACAATGCTCTCCATCTTTAAAGAACTTGCGTCTTACCCTGCATCATTTATGCATCTCTGCCCACATCTTACCTGCTATTGGGAGGTCTTAATGGTCAACACTTCACTATTCAAAGATAAAAACCCAATAACTTGTAACCCATGAGATATCATATCATCATTATTAGGTTTATGTTAGTCTAATAGCTCTCAAACCATTAAAATATCGTGACTTCAACTCTAAGACCCCAAA